CAAACAAACACTGCTTCTACATCCTCATTTGGAATAAATGCCTCCCTGGAATAAACAACAACCAGAGGCATTTATTTTTTATTGAATAAACTCCCCCTCCCCAAAATGACTTTAAACAAATCTGATGTAAGCAATGTCATTATCAACATATTTCATTAATGTTCTAATCCAGTAGAATTACATTTTTTGTAACCTGGTTGGGATGAATCAGTCTTTATGATTATGCATTAATGTTTTGGCGGTAATGATGTGTTGTAGTTCCACATTTACAATGAAATTAAGGGTCCTTTATTTGAGCCCATTTTACACACACAAAAAAAAGGCTCCATCGAATAAACGCACCCCTCAAAAACAATAAATACCTGAGGCGTTTATTCAAATAAATATGGTATTTGGTAAAGGTACATCATCTTTAATTTCATTGGCAGATCTGTATTAACATCAGATTATTCTGAAGTTGAAATACTTCGAAAATTATGATAGTTCAGAAAATGTTAAGTGAAGAAAATAATTCACATGACTAAAAAAAAACTTTTGATTTATAATTGCCAGGGATCGGTGCAAACGATTTCGCCAAAAGTTCCACAACCTTAGGTTGACTGCCCTTTTTGAAAAGACTTTAGAGAACATGAGAGATGCTGTTGTTACCAGGGCAACACCAGATGATGTCAAGTTTGAAGTTAAACCCTCAAAATGGTATGTACTATTTTTATATTTGCCATTTCATTCATCTGTGTTTTTGTGAAAATTCTTGTTCCAATCAAGTTAAAATGCTTGCCTCTAAGTCCCAGGGTCTTAGGTTCAAACCCTTCGAACACCTGGATTCTATTTTGTGTGACTAAAAATAATTCTATGGCCTTAGCCTGTCCAGACTACCAAATTTTATTTGACAAAAAACTGTTGCATGCCCATATATAGTCATGATGTGCCTATATATGGTCATGATGTGATGTCATCATGACAATAAGTAGACATGTCGCATTAACAGGGATTTAGTGTTTAATGCATCAAAGATTATTCCCCATCCTGTTAGTGAATCACTCGCTGTTGGATGAAGTTTTATAATAACTGTAAAAAGAATAAAAACATTGTTATATATATTGATTTGTAATTAAATTAAATTAATTATTTATAAATATTGTAAGCATTACCAGTATAAAAAAATTAATTTGATTTTGAATTGGCATTCATAGGCCTCTCTGTTGGTCCCTGCAACTACTATTATTTTGTGTTTCTATGCAGGACCCAGAGAAGGAAGAGTATTATTTCAAAACACAGTTCTGTGTTCCCAGTTAAAAAAAAAAAAATTATATCATATTGATTTTTGGCTCAAAAAATGAAGTGAAATGCCACATTATTTTAAAGGTACACCGACCTAATCTGCGACGTTGAATTCACTGTTGGCAAAGACGACCCGAATGCGGATCTTCTTCTGCATAAATTATCTAGATTCTCGCTGGAGGATAGCAAATCGATTTCTAATGCCAAGGTAATTAGTAAACTATCTACTGTTGCCAGGCATCTCTTGAAAGGTCAGATCTACTGCACCATCTACAGTATGTGCAGGAATGTGCATAGAGTAGTTATGGTTTATGGATAATTGATTTCATGGTGTATAGATGCAATTTGGAAGTAATTATAGGCCTACCTGATAAAAAGCATGAGAATAAACTTGGTACAGCATAGCCCATCCAGTAGGACATGACGACAATACCATGATATTAAATCAATAGTTAGAGAAAACTAGGAAGACTACATAAGAACTGATATATATGTAAAGGCCACTAAATACCTTTACTGAGGTTGGTAATTTGAAACAGCTTTTCAACATAGTAAAGTGCTACAGTATAGAGTAAATTTATAAATACATTATGATTTATAGCTACTGTAAAACATTGCTGACAATGATAGAGGATAAAAAAAATGTCTGAAAAACTGACTTCCAGTATGCTGCCCTCTTGTGGCTACTTCCCCTTCATTGACAGTTTTCTTATCATTTTTATCTTTTCCATTCCAGGAAAAGCTGTGTTTGCTGGTTATGTCCATTCCAGCTGTCGATCTCCTAACAGTTGCTATGCAACAGGCCATCCGGTTCATTCTCGAGAAAATCCTAGATGGACTACCAACAGCGTTTCCATCATGGCTCCGTCACAGGAACCTGCCACTTATCGATATTGTTACCACATAATATATTAAATTATAAACGAAATCACTGTATGTGCAATAAAAACAAATATTAAAGTATTATTTTTAATACAAAACTTGTACAAATTATGTGCAATAAAAATAAATAAAAATATAGTATTATTTAATAAAAACTGTACCAAATAAACAAATAAGTATGCTGAATAAAATACAAACGATAACAGAATAGTGCACACAAGTTTTCATTTGTTTGATTCAGTAGAATCATGATTTTTATTTCATATCTGTTATATTACCTGTAATGTAGGATAGACCTACTTACCAGATAAACACTCAATTCAAACTTATAATACTATGTCAACACTGAATGCAACAAACCGATTACTTCCATTAATATCAACTTAACATTATAGTTAGTTAGTTATAAAAATTTGGTTTCAATGTTAATGGTGCTGTAAAACCGGGTCCTCAAACCGACAGCCAATGAATGCATCTCCGCTGTCTATGAGCGCTTGATGATGCAAAGCCATCTGGTGATTGTGAGTGAGAGTCTGCTTCTTGTGCTGCCCGATATCCATCGGAGCAGTGAGTACCAAACTTAAAACAGTAACTAACTTTTTAAAATTCAGGTAGAGTTGTAAGAAAAATAAAATCAAACCAGAAAAGGTGCACTTGTTCTTAAAATAGTCCATAAATTTCTAATACATTTTCATTGTGCCAATCAAGATTGAGACAGATTTTGATTCTACAATATATGGAAACATTTTTTGCTGGTATCAATACTGAAACACTTCAGAAGTTAATACGTACTATAAAATAGGGTGAAATGAAATTGTCAGGTAGTGCAAGAATGGGAAATTTATACAAGTTTTTTTGTCCTTTATCCACAATGCTATGGACAATTATATTTTTTTTTTATCGATTCTGATAAGAAACAGTTACTGCTTACTGTACACTAAAAAAAGCCAATCTACATGAAATAACATACCACCTGTATAATTATGACCTAGATAATCAGCTATAAGTTATTAAAACATGTTACTATACTATTTTTTAACAGTTTTGCAATGAGCAATAAAAACAGCTGCTATAGGGTGATTGTCGCTTATTACTCGACACTGTAAATAACACACAGTTGCTATGTTGCTCTAAAAAGCCATCAGGTGCGTTACTTCAGCAAAAAACAAAAACAAACCAATGATGCTTTTTAAACTACAGTAGTATAAAAACCCACAATTTCAACATTACTCTATCTTCATACAAATCTGAATTAAGCCTAGAAACTTATTACTGTATTGCCAAATAGATTTGCAACTAGCTTACAGTTTGTGCGAATGTCCAAATGCTATTACGAACATTTTAATGTCACAGAACAATGATTTTGATAAAATTGAAGGTGGATTTTGGAAGTATAAAGATTCTGTGATAAAATCTGGAGAATCAACAAAAATTAAAATAAATCAATGAAATGCTCATTAAAAGAATCCAATTAGTAACTGCAGACCAAAACAGTACTGCGAAAATCTTTAAAACTGATCATGAGCAAATGTGCTGTAAAGGCTACGCATGGAATTAAGGAATACCTGTAGAACTGTAAAGTTATAGTGTAAGGGACTGTTTTTATGCGTATAGCGAGAAAAAAACTTTTTAGTTTTGATTTTTAATTGAAAAAAAAGAAACTGATACTTACGGTTAAATTTACCATGATTCACAGATTGTTGCTAGCAAGCAGATATCTGTTTAAATCTGCCTTTATTAAATTGTTTATCCTAGAAAAGGAGCAATTTAAGTGTTTCAGTGGTCTTTTACAGATGCTTTATGGTACATGTGTTGAAAATTACTGCCTGCTGCAGAAAACTACAATTTGCAGAATTTTCACTTCAGGGGTCCTAAAGTTGGAAGAAGTGAATCCCAGGAGATACTGTAGCAAGGGCCTCAAGGAAGGACTTTCACACATGGGGGGTGTAGTCACCTCAGCCTCACCTTCGTTGAGGCAAGAAATTATGGCACATCTAGATGGCCGGAAATGCCACTCTCAGACTAAGAATTTGAGGGTCTGGGCCGGCTCTCCTCTCTTGAATCCGCCACTGATCTGGTTAATGAGCTTTTTAAACACATTTAATTTTAATTTGCTATAGCACATAGTATTCACCCATCGGAACTGATTCCGTAAGACCGTTATTAACAAAGCCGGGAAAACATGCAGATATTATATTTGCGGGAGATTCTTGCTTGCTTGCGGGAGGCCATCATGATTTCCGTGAAGACTCCTGTGAGCTCCAGGAGACTTGGGACCCCTGTCACTTTGCCTTATATGACAAGCAAGCAGTAACAATACTTTTTTTTTTCAAATCAACAATAGCATCTTCAGGCAATTTTTAAAGGCAAATACTGGCTCCTTCTGGTCCGTAAAACTTTTAAAATAATTGCTTATCATATACAATCCTACAATGTACCAACAAATGTCTATAGGGATGTACACACAAAGATCATATAAAAAGCAATAATTATCTATAGTATAATATATATTTTTGACAAATCATTATGTAATACAAGGAAATCACTCACAAAATGCAGCCCTATAATGTATGTGTAAAGGTTTTTTTAAGAAGTTCATATGATGCGTTTATAATTCCCCACGAGATTAGCGCACGGCTGAAGTTCAAATGAACACCGTAAAACAACCGGTGCATTCTTTTTCCACGTTCATAATAAATGTTCCAGAATGTCTGACGAAATGAGACAAATTCACCGCCAACCTTCACCATCATTCGTGTCTTAACCACATTTATAGGGTACCAAACAGTGCTGATGGTTGCGCCAAGAACAGCGCCGCTTAAAAAGTCGTTTACAATGTCACCAGTCTGTGTCTGAGCTTCTGGTAGTAAATTTTTCAGCTCGTGTCGAAATCCGAAGAAAACTGCATTACTTGGACCGTTTCGTAAAAGTATCGGGGTTAGTCCGCGGTACAGTTCTTTAATTCCATATGCGGTATACAGCTCTTTGAAAACGTGCATTGTGTTTCGGAACTGCCCCTGTCGGTTATCTTGAAGAACAGTTTGGACACGTTCAAACGGCACAAGGATTGCTTCAGAAGTACCTGCACACACAAAAAGGCAATGTTTCTTAAACCAATTAATAATGTGTCTACATAAATAATATCATTCTACAGTTGAACTTGCCTAAGTCGAATCCACGAAAACACAACAACATGTAAACATGTAAAATAATTTTGGCTTAGAAATTATTCGAGTTAGGATTTGATGTATTTTTGGTTTCAATATACATAAAGGAATACAATATTACAAAAATTCCATTAGAAAAGCTTAGATAAAACCATACTGTCAATATTTTGAAACAAAATTGTTTCTTGTCTGTGGGCTAGTAAAATCTCTAGTCAACTAGCCTCGTTACCAAAAAAAGTAAAATCAAGCCCTTTTTACAGAAAAAATATCCTACATAAAAATTTACAGTATCGTTACTGTAGCTAAACAATACATTTTACATCCAAATCATTGAAACAGGATATTTAACAATGATTTAGTAAAACATCAAAAAGCTACAATAATAAATATATATAAATTATGAATATATTTGAATTTAGTACCAATTAAGTAAGCTATTCTATTTATATTCCAATTAGAATACATGAATAAGTTTATTGCATGAATTGTTTATTATTAAATACTAAAAATTATATTCATATAAAAATTCAATGGATGCAAACACAATTTTAATGAAATGGATTGTTGCTATATATTATACATTGCACATACATGAATAAATAATTATGAATATCTGGAATGCAAAAGCTCAAATTCTAATACAGTACAGTTGCCGTATTCAGGGGGTGATGCTACAGTGTTTCTTGAATCTTTCTTTAACACAAATGGCTATAACAGTTAAATATAACAACTTAATTTACAAACATAATGGTACTGCAGTACCCGCTGGTACTTTGGGATTGGATATAACACTAGTCATTAAGCGCAAGCTCCAGTGGTTTAGTGGTTATAACACCAGGCTAGTTAATCTAGAGGTCGTGTGTTCGATTCCCACCTGAATAGCTTGGGAATGCACAGAGTATTCCATACAACACATCAGGTAGGGCAAAAGCATCACTCAACATACAGTACTTAATATGAAAATAACTGATATATAAAATATCTTTTGACTTTCAACTTAATATAGATGTATATTCTGAATGTCACATCTGACAAATACTCTTAACTGAAATCTAATTTTTTTCTTGTGTTTCAGTGTGCTTGTTTGGATATTGGCCCTAGATGGCACTTGTAGCAATAAAAGAAATTTTAATTGAAATAAGACAATAAAATAAAGGAAACAAAACAAAACTGACAGGTTGTAGAGTGTTGTCTTACCTGAGAAAACAGCTGCTATCATTTTGGCTGGTGCAAGTGGAAGGGAAGGAATCTGATGATTGATAATTTTAGTATATTGGTCATATAGTCCGAACATCAAAGCTGTTGATGTAGTTTTCTGAAGCAGAGGAGGCAACACGCCACGATATATCATTCCCGGGCCTTCCCGTAGCAACTGCGCAAAGGCTCTTTCGACCCTGATGCCGTGAAGCTGCTGCCGAAAGAGAACTTTGTTTACAGGAAATGTCATAATGATATTTATAAATGCAGCACCTCCACCGCAAATAAATTCCTGAGATTCCTGTAATCGTTCTGGCGACACAGGTTCTTGAGCTGGTTGTTCCTGTATTGCTGTGTTTTTTCCACCAGCCAACATACTTGAGTCCTGACGTAGAGACATATTTTTGTTCGTCATACCTCATTTCGCTAAGGCTGATTTTGTTGAGTAACTGTACAGTATTTTAATATCATTAATAAGGTCATCAGACTTGAAATATGTTACCTGAAAAATAATAGTGTTTTTAAAACTTTTCAAATGTTATTTTATATTTCATTTTTGAGCATACAGTAAAAGGAATACTCAGTGAACTAAATCTCTGTCAAAGGTAATCTAAAAAAACTTTACTATTTTATACCTATCAATACTATAAAAATTTTATTTACCTGCAAATGTCAATTTAAGATAGAACAAATTAAAATAGATTTTAAATACAATTGTCATACGTATACTGGAAAGCTATCCGTTCTCTGTGCGATACGACACTGTTTGCTGATTGTTACACTAAAGGATACTCGATAACATTATGATCCGCTGAACGCGCCTCGCCTATCCATGGAATTGCATTGGCCGATGGCGGATTATGTGCCTGGCTTTAAGTACCATCTCAGGCATTTGTCAACTCTTTTAAATCTGGGCCTACCTTAATTTGCGCGGAGGATATCTCAACCTAAAACCAATGCAAACTTGCACGGAAAATTGCTGGGAAAGTAGGTGTGCAGAGCCATAACTACTGACTCAATTAATGCATTGGTTGTACATCGAGAGATAGGCCCAAGGCCTAACTTTCTGCAAAAACTGTGCAGAAATCAGCCCTTATTTTCTGGAATGCACGGACGGAATTCTCTAGGCCTAGCTAGGTTCTAGCCTTGTTTGCATGCTGGGGATACAGTATATAACCGCGAGCCTGATTTTACAGTCTGATGGGCCTAGAATTATCTACAGTAGGCCTTACCAAGAAACTGATGATGCTGAATGGGAGTATTTTGGTGCATTTTTTACATTTTTAAAACAAATTAAAATAAATGATGATTAATAAATAAGCATAAAATAAAAAAATCCAGATGCAATTATAAATGAAGACTCAAAAGTATTCAATTGAGCCACGATAAGGCCGAATAAAATTAATTTGCTAGTTTCACAACCCCACCCTCATCAAATTTTTGAGTCTCATGAAAAAATTTACTATTTGCTATTTTTCAAAATACATTCATTTTTCCATGGACAATAAAATTAATGACTATCTGAAATACTGTAATGATGTCAAGCGTAAGAAGAGGTGGGACCATCAATGGCAGAAATACTTTACAAAGATTCATTTGAAATACTTCTTTAATAAGGGCAAATAGAAAAATTTATTAGATTATCACTCCTGCCCACGTCAAAAATTTGGGAAATATTGATGCGGGAATAAAAAAAAAATCTTTTAGATTAAAGATTTTTTTATACAATATTTACTATTACTAGCCAAATATAAACAGTCTCTCCCTCATCGATAAAAACAGGAGCGAAATAATCTATTGTTCCGATTAAAAAAAAAAACAAAAAAAACAAAAAAAAAAACTGCCTTTCCTCATCGATAAACAAACTGCCCTCCCTCAAAAAAAAAAAAAGAGTGGTAATCTAATAATTTTTTCTATGTGCCCTAAAAAAAATATTTTTAATATTTATCAGCCTGTTAACCATTAGTAGGTAAATTATGGGCCTACCCTCACCAGCAAAAAATAATTTCAAATCCTGGACGGATGTGAAACTAACATTACAATTAATTAACTTTATTTGGCCTAAGGCCTAGGCCTAATTAATCCGTATTCGAGGTAAGTGATTGAAACATTTGAGATGACAACGATCTTCTTGGACACTAGGCGTCGGTAGTTTTGTAGTAGCACAGCGAATTGATTCATCCTAGGATCCTAGGCTAGGCCAACACTACCTTTTCAACTTACACAATAGCGAGAGAGTTCAACTGGTTCGTCTGTGTCAGAGCGGTGGATCATACCAACTAGGATAGGCCTAACTAAGCCATGCATGCCGATATGGCAGGCCTAGGCTAGAGTAGAGCGTCTTCCAGTTATAAAAACTGACAAATAGTTAGCTGGCCTGGATTGCCAAGATTATTAAGAAGATTGTTATAAGCAGCATGCATCAACTTTACAGACTAATACTTCAGCAACAAATATTAAAATACAACATTGTAAACACTATTATCTCCACCCAATCAATAAATCCCAACTCGGACGGCCATGCATACTTTTTTCGACAAACGTTTAAAATACAGAGGGCGCTAAGTTTATTTGACCAGTGAGACCAGATTCCTTCATTATTCCGCTTGCTGTTTCTGTTGGTTTCTCTTAACCGTACCTTTAAATCACTTTTAATAATATAGATATTCCTTTGTAATATTTTGGCATGCTGGAATCATCATATCAATTATGACATTATTTTCAATGATTATTGGTTTGAACATTATGGCCGAAGATCCAACGATTGTATTTTATTCACAAAAAGAGCCACGAAATTTCTCAACCGATTTGACGTGATCCTGGGTGGATGCAGGGGAAGTGGTGGCTCTAGGATATCATTTATGGGGTGGGGGGGATAAGGTGTCCGACTGGTGGGGGGCTAAGAATTTATGGGTGTAACTATAGCGCGCAGCGTTATCTGAGGGACGAAGGCCGGAGCCGGGAATGGGTGCTTCCAAAACGAGATTTAAAAAAGAAATTGGGACTTCAGATGGTCGGAAATTGCTGAGATGGGAAAACTAGGCTTATTTATTTATTTTTTAATTTTTTTTTTGGTCCGACTGCCCGACGAGCTTTGGACGATGGGGGCGGGGGACTTGACCAACCGATGGGGGATTAAGCCCCCTGCCCCTCTGGCGCCGCCATTGTGCAGGGGGAGTGCAGACGGTGCGATCATACCCACTAAATTATTGTATTAAGAAAATAATTCTTGTATTGTTGATACGAACATAGGCCTAGTAGTAAACTTTTAAAGGCATGAGAGAGCAATTTCCGGGCACCAGGTTCATATTCTCAAAATGTTCAAACCTCAGCCCCAACATGTTTGTCGACTCCCACACACACCTAACGCCAAACCCTGCATACGCCCGTGATCTGTAATCGAAGGCTTACTTTTTACAATTGTGTTTGATGCTTTAAATATGCCTACATTGTCATGACCTATTATGTTCAGGATGGTAGCTCTTCGGACGTGCGGGGATGAGTTTGCACTAAACTGCACTTGTAATTCACGCCCCTGATGATGTCCACTCCCGTGTTGATAACGTCCGGGCCTACTTATTTTGCGGTCTAAAGGTGCATTTTTAATCAGTTTTCTTTTATTTGGTCTATTTACATTCGACATCATAACACACGTACCATAGCCCTAGTAAGGTGTGAGAGCCACTAATAAGCGCCAATTGAGTAAAGAGTTATTTCAATGTATTGATGATATATCTAGGCCCCTATGGTTAACGATCTGGATTTTTATTTTATTATTTATTTATTTTTATATTGCTCTTTAGTGAGAATGATGATGATAAATCATTACATAGGCTATGTGACAAAGTTTGAATTGTTAAATATAAAAAATGAATTGTTTAATTGCAATATAGGCCCACACATGTTAGGGTCTGCACCACAAACCGTGCATAAAAGTGCTTGCTAGATCCAGTGGAGAAGCGGCATTCAAAAACAATGAATTTGCTCCTGAACGGAATAAGAAGAAGTAAAACTTTAATGAAGTTTCAACCCGCCTTGACTACCTCAATAAAATAAAGAAAATAGGCCTATACCCAAGAAATAATATTAGGCCTAAAACAAACCGTAAATGTAGTAGTAGCTGGCCCTAGAGCTAGAGACAATGTTTGATTTCAAAGTCATTTCATGGTCGCATCCAGTAGTGGTGCCAGCGGGAGGGCTGGGAGGATTCCCTCCCTCTTGTCGGACAGGTCTGAAACCCCTGCCGTCGTCCGACGCCAGGGTGAGCGCTGGATATTAATTTAATACGGTAATAATATGGCTATTTAAGCAATGAAATACTCTCGCCCGTAGACAACCAGGGATTTTTATTCCTGGACCCTGACTGAGGCTCTTGTCGGCCCTTTTTCGGACCCGGCTCTGTCAGCACATTTCTGGAGTCAGTAGGTTTACTGGTAGGCCTACGCATCATCAACATGTGAAATTTTATTACCACCTCTCACAGTAACTAGTGTTATTAAAGATACTTTCTGTCTCTGTGATGGATTCTCAAACAATCAGGCCTAAATTGCTTTAAACGAGTTTTCCTTTGTAATCACGTCCGCTTTCAGGTCTAACAAAAGAATATATAGGGCCTATAATAATATATAGACAACAAAACTGAAAATTAAAATACAATGAAATAAGTTTGACTCAAATAAGCTCGAAACAAGCGAATTCCAGTTTGAGCGGATGGCCGGATGCGCGTCATCGGCCAGGCAATCCGAACGGTTTTTATCAATTTTAGCGAGTACCAGATGTGCGAATGACATCTTGGACAGATTTACTTCATGACTGCCTCGATACAAGCACCACTTTTTTTGTTCTTTTATATTACTGAATAACGATTTTAAATATTATGTAAATATTAATTTTACTCATGCAGCTTTCGTACGTTTTCAGGCCCGTAGCGTGACTTAATTTGTGGAAGGTTCGTTTCGTTGGAAAGTGGACCCTTTGGAAATCTTAAGGAATGCCGACTTGAAATACTTCTGGCTTGTATGATCTCCGATAC